TGCAGTTCGACCAGTTGCTTCAGCTGGTCGCTCAAGGGCATTAGATGTTCGGTCCCAATATACTGAAACCAGAACAACTTCTCGATCGAGCTCCCTTCTTCAGCTCGGTAGAACTCTACGACATCAGATATGCTGCGCGGCAGATCTGCGAATGCTCCTGGAGAGCTCCAAATTCGGGCAAGTAAAAGGAAAGTCTCCTTCACATGCTTGCTTTGCATAATGAATGCCTTACCCGCTGCAATCTTCTTGGCTGCCCGAATCTCCTGGAGGGCCTTTTGGGCTTCGGCTTTGGCGTCTCGCACGCTCTGGAGGGCCTTCGCAAGCTCGGACTCTTACGTCTTAGAGTCACGCTCCAAGGACTCATATTTTTGGATGAAATCCTGGAGCTCTTGCTGGACCTCATTGACTCGGGCCTCTTCCTTCTCGCGCTCGGCGCGCTCCTTGGCCGCTTTGTCTTTGGTCTCGGTCAGCACCGTCTTAAGGGCCACCACTTTGATCGTGGCTCCTTGTAAAGTTCATGACGCTTTCATCAGCAGAAACCATTTTTTCCTTTCTAAATATACAGACGGGGTATTGTGTACCTTTGTTTTCCTCAAGCTGCCTCTTCACGAGGCTGAGCTCTCCCTCGGTCCGCTTCAGGTCCCGCTTCAGTCCGGAGACCTCCACAGTACGAGTGGCAGCGGCCAGCAGCGATGCTTGCTTATTCACATAGACATCTTTTGTTAGATTCCTATGGATGTTATTTGATCCTCTGTTCGGCCTTTCTTTCTGAACACCAAACAGAGCATCAGGGGCTACTGTCTATACTGTGATATTTTCTCACAATTTTGTTACTTATCTCAAAGCCTGTTAGGAGGCTGGCGCAGGCTTCGGTCAATCCGCTTTTGGTGGACCGGATCTTCTCAATCACCACACTCATAAGAGTATGGTGTTCTTCATCAATGGAAGCGCATCGAAGCGCTTCCAGCAAGTTGTCTGATGCCTCTGGATGGACAGAGGTCATTGGTAGATGCGGCTTGCCCCTCTTAGAGAGAGGTTGCCTGCCTTAATTCGGAACCGCTTGGGTTTCCGGAGCCGTATTCGGCCGAGGGACAAACTCACTACCGCCCCCTTTTTCGGAGTCCATGGGGGTCTTCCCCCCATGTGCCCATCGATTGGGATTTCGCCTGGGGGCGTCTCTAGAACTGTCTCCCCCTGGTCCAATATCCTCTGAGACAACACCTCAGTGTCATCCGCGGGCCTGGGGGAGGAGGCTACGGGGAGTGAATCGTTGTTCATCACTGACGGGCCCAGGAACCCCTCCGAAGAGGATACCCCGATGTGGGATTTGGCCGAACTGCATATGCATGTTCGGCATGATAAGAAGCAATAAAGCAAAACATACTGGGAGCATTATAGTGTCCGGATACTTACGACTTAGCCAGGGGCTTGTCCCTAGGCAACCACTCCTCGCTGCTGTAGGTGGCCATGGTGAAGTGGCCCGGAAAGAAGGTCTTTCCCTTCTTGGACGCCTCGGCCTCCCCCTGCGGGGCGGCCTTTCTCTTCTTCCCCGCCCCCCCCCCCCCCCGATTGGGGGGGGGAGGGATTTCTTCTTCCTCCTCCTCGTCTTCGTTGGAGGAGTGTGCCTCGGTGTCTTCAGACATTACGTCTGACACGACCTTGCGCGGAGACTTTTCCTGGTCCCCGCAGCCTTCTTCTTGGCCTTCTTCTCCGGCACCTCATAGGGTGCCGGGAACAACATTTTCGTCAGAAGAGACGATGCTGGATCTTCATGTAGCGGAGCCGGACAGTCGATCCGCTCCACTATCGCTACCCAATCCTGTTAAATCAGCACGGGGGCTTAGATTCCTCTCGCGAATGTGCTGATAAAAGGCACATCTTGCAAAATGTAAAAACTCACCGGATGCGCTTGGCGTTTCGCCCTGAGTCCGCGATCTTCGGCTATAGGTGGAGGGACCTTGTTGGCCTTGAAGAGCACCTTCCAGACGTCTTCGTGCGTCGTGCCGAAGAGCTCCTGCAACATCTGGTATTCGGCCGGGTCGAACTCCCACAGATTGTAAGCCCGTCTCTGACATGGAAGGATCCGGCGGATGAGCATGACCTGGACCACATTGACAAGCTTGATTTTCTTGCCTATCATATTTTGGACACAGGTCTGAAGTCCGGTCAGCTCCACCGATGAGCCCCAGGCTAAGCCCTTCTCTTTCCAGGAGGTGAGCCGCATGGGGACGCCAGATCGAAATTCAGGGGTCGCTGCCTAGTTGGAGTCGCACGGCTCGGTGATGTAGAACCACCCCGATTGCCACCCCTTCACGGCTCCACAAAAGAGCCCTCGGGCCAGGTGACATTGGGCATCTTGCCCACCATGGCACCCCCACACTCTGCTTGCTGGTCGCCCACCACCTTCGGCTTCACGTTGAAGGTCTTCAGCCATAGGCCAAAGTGGGGCATGATGCGGAGGAAGGCCTCGCACATGATGATGAACGCCGAGATATTGAGGATGAAGTTGGGGCCAGATCATGGAAGTCCAGCCCGTAGTAAAACATAATTCCGCGGACGAATGGGTGGAGGGGGAATCCCAGTCCGCGGATGAAATGAGAGAGGAACACTACCCTCTCCTGGGGTTTCGGGGTGGGGCTGATTTGCCCTTCGGCCGGAAGCTGGTGCGCAATGTTTGCGGACAGGTATCCGGCCTCCCGAAGCTTTGTAGTGTCCTCCTCCGTGACGGAGGAGGCCATCCACTTGCCTCCCGCTCCGGACATCTTGGAATGACTTTTGCGAAGAAGGTGAAAGCTTGGGCGCTAGAGCTCGAGCGAGAATGGATGAGCAGAGGAAGAAGAGGGCGTGGGTGAAAAAGGGGAATCCTTATCTCTTTATAAAGGCGGTAGAAACTGTGCGCCTCCCCACTTGCCCCGTAAACTCGCTTATTCCCCAAGCGTCGCGTTGATGGCGCGGTTGGGTTACCCACACCCGTATTGATGAGAATCCCGTGATAAGGGGACACGATCTCTGCTTCGACAAGACGTGCCAATAAAACCGCCTCACAATATGTGCAATAGCAGGCTGGGAAAAACGGTTCGAATACTGATCGGGCCGGGGCCTGATGTCACGCTATGAAAAAGTTGTCAGCAGGTTAGATTTGTGGGATATTGTGCTCTCTACAGTTGTATGTGGAATTTGTTTTGCAGAGCCGGACACAATTCATGTGTTCAAAAACCTACCTTGGAGTATTCGGAGAAGGAACCCGCCTTGCAATGCCGAAGACAATCTGAGCGCCGGACTCATCGTCATTGAAGCCTGGTTCAGGGGCTACTGAGGGAGTCCGGGATTAGGGGTCCTCGGACAGCCGGACTATATGCTTATGCCGGACTGTTGGACTATGAAGATACAAGATTGAAGACTTCGTCCCGTGTCCGGGTGGGACTCTCCTTTGCGTGGAAGGCAAGCTTGGCAATTCGGATATGTAGATTTCCTTCTCTGTAACTGACTCTGTGTAACCCTAGCCACCTCCGGTGTCTATATAAACCGGAGGGTTTAGTCCGTAGGACAAGGACAATCATAATCATAGGCTAGCTTCTAGGGTTTAAACTCTACGATCTCATGGTAGATCAACTCTTGTAATACTCATATCATCAAGATCAATCAAGCAAGAAGTAGGGTATTACCTCCATAGAGAGGGCCCGAACCTGGGTAAACATTGTGTCCCCCGCCTCCTGTTACCATTAGTCTTAAACGCACAGTTCGGGACCCCCTACCCGAGATCCGCTGGTTTTGACACCGACAGGTGGCCCCCGATAGGTTTCGCTATTTTGTGAATTCTTTTTCCTCTGAAAAAATCATCAAAAATCTCGGTGATGTTTGGAGGTCTGAAGCAATGATTTTCTGAAAAGTAAAAACATGCAGAAAACAACAATTGATTCTGGCACTAAATTAATAGGTTACTCCAGAAAAACAATAAAAAATATTATAAAAATGTTCCAAAGTGGTATGATAATAACATCAGACGTATTAGCAGGCGAACTATTTGAAGGGTGTTTATCCAAGCTCTATGCAAATAATTATGTCCAATTTGCGTTTGCAATCCCGATTTCTTGACCAGACGAATGGGTTCTATATTTTTTTCCATAATTCAGCCTTTTTTAGTGTTGAAATTGTGTCTTTTCACGGGAGCAAATCATGCAAGAACAGTTTAGTAAAAGCTATTCTATCCCAGTACAGAGTCAAAATTAAGGACAGTATAACCGCATCTAAACCGAGCCCTCTCAGCGATTAGCATTTTCGGCCGTCCATTTTACCGATCTGGGATTTCCTGGCCGTCCGTTTTCGTCGCTGTGGCAATCTATTCCGCTGTCTGGGTTAACTGGACCCGGTTGTCCTGTGGGCTGCTGCTCCACGGGCCGAAACCGATGCCTGTGGTGCATTGGGCCTCTGGCGAACATGCAGCCCATTGGAAGGAGGGACAGCGACCGCGCGAGCCCAACAGAGCGAACCCTAAGGAGTCCCGATCGAGGTGAGCGGCGCATCGATCCGGAATTAGAGTGTGGCGGCCGGTTCCATCCATCGAAGACCGCCGGCTGCGTCCGTCCACCTCAAGAGTTCAGGAATGGGATCGAGTCCATCCGGTCGATCCCAGCGACCGGAGGAGCGGGAACCAGTCCATCCGCTCGATCCCACCGACCATCTGCTCCATCCCAGCGACCAGCGGAGCAGGATCCGGTTCGAGCCGATCCAATACAGCGCGTGGCAGAGAGGGAGAGACACCTCCTCTACTGGTAACTTCTCTCCTCTCCTTCAAGCTCGCAATGATGGCATTCTTCTGCTGGAAACTGCTCTCTCCTCTCCTTCAAGCTCACAATCATGGCAATGTTCTACAGGAAACTGCTCTGTCCCCTTCAAGCTTGCGATTATGGCCTATTATCATTCATTAATTCATTTGCTTAATACCTGCTAAAGTCCCAAACCTCGCAGGTACTATATAATGCCTCCCTCCCTGGCTCTCTATGCACATCTTACTCCAGCAGCAACATCTTCTTCGGCGACATGCTCAGGTATGCTACCTGCAAATTGCATCAATGTCTTCAGGTCGTCTAAAAAAAAGATACTCATATCCTCTCCCTACAAAAATATGTGGAGGTGATGTTCATGCTACGCATTCACAGTTGATTTGGGCAGATTCTGCAGCTTCCTATTGTCCATTTTTGTCCTCAGTCATTCATCATCTCAAATGGCTTTTGGACAGGTAATTACTCCTTTCAGTTTTTGCTAAGTTTTTGCTATGAAATTTAATACTACGCTGCAAATCCTTTACATAATATGTTAATTGGGCCTGCTTACTGCTTAGAACCTCCGCAATCCGCATCGCCGACGAGGAGGACGACGATGTTGACAACCAGATCATGGACTTTGCAGTTGCCGACTGCGTGGCCCGCACGCCTTCCATCGAGGCCGGGGAGGCATTGGGTAGTAAGGGCCAAGGATAAGCGTTGCACAGCGGCGGACGACGTCGCCCAGGCGCCAGGCCAACACATCTCCAGGATGGGCCTTAAGGTCGTGCCAATGATAGCACCCTTCTCCAATCTCTGTGCAGTCAACATCTCCGGCAACTTCATGGGTAAGCACTGCCGCTGCCGGTCAGTAAGATCGACAGAACATTGTCAATTGCTACTGCACCAAACAATAGTACTTTCAGTATCCCTTGACGGCTTCTCCAAACAAGGTAGTAAGATATGACTGATTGAATGATTTGGAAATTGGTAACTTCTTTGTTTCAAAGTTGTTGACTGACCTTGTGAATTGGTGTTTTATAGGTGGTGTATGAAATTGCTAATGAAGGGCCACGACCTGAAACTCCCGAAGGGACTCTTTGCAACTTAATTGCGGGTGATGTTACTTTCTGATGTGATGTTCTGTTTTCCAGGTTTCGGGTGGAATAAGTGTAGACTCACGTCAGCTTATTCTGATCTTTAGTTTCAGTTTAGGGACAATTATTTTGTTTATTACTTATTGCTTGGCAAAGCCCCATGATCGGCCAAGCCTTCAGTAGATCCTTGCTTGCTCCATTGCGGATACGCTGTATATGTATGATATTTCCACCAGATAGTCAAGGATATGTGCAAGTCAGCAAAGTGGCAGTTCAGTCACCCTCCTGATCTGTTTTTATTTACTCAATTTCGTGGAACAATTGATAAGATATAACCTCTTGGGCTAACAGCTGAAGTGTTTTGACAAACTGTTTAGTCAACACTCTTCCGGTCTGATTGCTAGCAGAATACATATGCGTGTTCAGATGTTAATAACATAGTTATCCGTCGAACATGTTCAGGTGTTGTTCATGTTCCTCTCTTTGCAAGAATGAATTTACATTCTCTCTTTGATAGCTAAGCTATTTGATGTGGCAACTGTCAAGTTGTACTGCTATACAGGATAATATGGGATTACTATTTTGTGGATCAGGTACATACTTGGAGATAACATGATGGTAAAAAGAAGACATGAGGCAGGTTCATGTCGGTTCTTTAATATACAAGAAGTTCAGCTCTTCAGTTCATACTTACTATCTTTTTTGTTGATCCATGGAGAATAAGCAGTTCCTAATGGATTCTTTGTGTTCCATTCATCACTTTACACATCTGGTAATGGATTTTGTGTATTCCAAAAAGGGGTAATTAGCCGACTTCATTTCAGTTCCTAGGAGTGGCAGGAGATGCAAATCAAGAAACCTATACTCGGTAAGGTTTGCTCCTTTTGGTAACCGCACATATAGTCTTAGTTGGGGAAATTCTCAAATGAACGTTTGCTGATTTAAGGAAATTCTCATGTAGATTTAAATATGGGTTTTGAATCATGTTTCAAATATCAGGATATAGGCAGCCTTGAAAGAGGTCATGAGAACATGCAATGGCATTATTGAACGTTCTGAAAATTACATATCATATACTCCCTCCGTCCCAAAATGTAAGACATTTTTTGAAACTATCATAGTGTAAAAGAACGGCTTACGTTTTGGGATTGGGGGGAGTAAGCCCTTAAATCTTTAGTTCCTTGTGCACAAAGTTGGGGAATTTCTGATGCCATTTTGTTCTAAAGTTGTTAGTGGACACCATGTGTTCATGGTGCATATTTTGTATAGTGACTTGTCTTACAGCTGAAGCAGACATATTTACTCTTCCATGTGTTTTGTTTATTATTTTCCTATAATACAAGAAGAAGTACCGATTAGTGCTATGTTTCTTAGTCCAGAAACTTCAATTTATTGGTGTTCTTAAATGACAAAAAACTGTTTAGTATTTGATTTTTCATATTTCGTACCACTACTTGTTATAGTAAAATTCTATCACTAATATTGTTCTTAAAAGACAAAAAATCCATTCGTATTGTAAATTTCATATTTCATGTCACTATGTATTAGCAAGAGTTTGTACTATTATATGGAAAAAATAGACAGTCATAACAACGAGTGCCACACTACTTAGTTTCTTGCTAATTAACCAGTCATATTCCTCTTCATTTACATACCAATATTTTGGAAAATGAAGGCAATAAGAACAAGTCACAAGAAAAACACAATACTTGATACTGTAGCATACAAATGTATATAACTAAATACCTTAGCAACTGAGTCAAAATAGATGGGCGCAGCAACGCGTCATCGATGATCTAGTTGTGAGGAAGAGGAGACCGAGACTCAGCCCAGCCTCACCCACATTCATGCCTTCTACACTTATTCCGTATATAAAACACACGTACACGCTCTGTAAATAAATAAAGCACACGTACTAATTTACAGGTAAGAACCGTAAATCTTAGGTTTCCCTTGACGTACTGCCAAAAGAGGCCGTACTAGCAACCATGTGACACGGTCGAGGGCGATGATTAATCTGGAGCTCTGTTTCCCTTGACATGTTTTGTTTTGTCACCAGCAATAAACCCTTGGCTGTCTGGCTGGATACGTTGTTCCCGCCACTTTAGTTTCGTGTAACCACTGGTAGCTTTAGATTCTCCAGCTCCACCTAACGGCACAGTTGCATTAATCAACTCAAAAGCATGTCCACTTAGCACTAACAATGGATTTAGTCCGAGAAAGACGCGCTGCAGAATCCAGCGTGCATCTGGCTCCACAGGCAGCCGGCCGTCTAATCTAATTGCCACGAGATTAACTGCTCCCTAATCCCTTCACGGATGCTTCCCTCCCTCCCTCCTCGACGAGTGTCAGTGAGAGCCGAGAGTGACAGGTGACTCTGCACGCACCCACAATAGGAGCAAAATTTACCCCACACGACTCCAAAAAAAGCGAACTTATTCCCGGACCCCAGCAGATGCAGGAGTAACCAAACAAAGAAGCACGCGCAATCTAACTAACGGAACGTGCCTAAAAACCCCGCCCTATAAATCAGCTCCGCCTTGCTCACTCCATCCCCAAACCAGCTCGCCTTCCCTGCAACACAAGGCACCACTTGGATCTGAAAGCACGAGCAAGCAAGCAAAGGGAGGTGCAATGGAGCACGGGTACCCCTGCAACAGCAATAGCAGCAGCAGCAACAAGGAGAAGAGGCCTCCGCTCAAGAGAGGCCAGCTCAAGCTGCACATCGCCAGGACCCTGGGCAGCCTCGTGGCGCCGGCCGCCAAGAGCGGCTTCAGCTTCAGAAGATGATGGCTTGACCGGCCGCGACAAGCAAGCAAGCACCTTCTCGACCAATCTAGCTAGGAGCATGGTGTGATTCTGGTGGTTGATGTGTACAGTGTAGGGATTGTGCAGGTTGAAGAGGAGTTGTTTTAGTTAGGTGTGCTTCTAATTTGTGTCCAGTTTCCCCCCTTCCACGGTTCCACCTAGCCCCTGTTCGCTTTGAGGTTTGCTGATGAGATCTCGCTTCCTTGATCGACAATTTTTACGTTGTCCACGAGTGAGGGCATGTACGGAGATTGCAGATCCATGCTTTTTCAGAATGCACTGTAGCTTCTAATGGGAATTACAGTTCTGTTTCTGAGATTGATGCGTCTCCCCGCTCTCACTCCATTTGATTTGTCCAACTCTGAAGTCTCTGAACTGAATGAATAGACCGGCATAATGGGTGTACTGCGGACGGTACATACCACATTGTCAGTTTGCCTGACGCGTGTTTCTTACCAGCCTCGCGCGTGCGTCCGGCAGTGGTTACTGATCAAAGGCAGGGCCCCTTAGCGATAATAAATTGACAATAGATCCATACGTTATCCTGAGAGTGCTACAAGGTAAGACCGGCCGGCATCATCACGGGGAGAAGATTTGATGTTCCTAGGTGCTTCTTCCTTATCTTTAATCTTTAATCTTTAACCAATAATAAAGTAAATTGGGTTTCTTTCGTCCGTCATGACATTTTTTCAGAAAAGTCCCTCTATTTCAGACAATTCAACCCGCAGTCCTGTTTTAGTTAAATGAAGCGTTATTTTCGTATTTTATACAAAAGTCCTTGTCTTTTCTTGAAATCAACCCGCCGTCCGGATTTAAGTCACACCCGAACCGTTATTTTACATTTTTCGAAACCCCCCTGATGTTTTAGGTAATTCATCCGCGGATCATATTTAAGTTAAACAAATGCTTTTTAAAATCATCCATATCTTTTAAACCGTAACTTCGATTTGAACATGTTATATATGAAATTTGATTAGAAAAATATGTTGAACATGAATATGAGATTATTTTTACCTGTTAAGTATTTTTAAATATTATTTTGGAATATATTTGAGTCAAACCAAATGATTTTCTAAATTATCTGTATCTTTTAAACCGTAACTTCAATTTTAACATATTATATATGAAAATTTATCAAAAAATGCGTGCAATCTAAATATTATGTTAATTTTACCTGTTAAATATTTTTAAAATATTGTTATGGAAGCAAACTTATAATTTATAGCGCAAGATCCGTTCTTTTCATACCGGCGGTGATCCAGATTGCAAATAAATACCCCACTATAACCATATACGGAAAAGAAAACATCGACAACTACATGTGCATACATCTGAAAAATGTCGCAAGGGAAAACAACAGATTTCTCATCGCGAGAGTGAGAGAAAGCGAGCGAGAGAGAGAGAGGGGGAGAGAGAGAGGGAGAGGGAGGAGAGAGGGAGAGAGAGACGCCTTAGGATTAACCATATTCAACACACGTTTTTTGTTGTTTTGTGTGAACACCGAGGCCATCGCCGGCGGGTGAGAAGGAGGATAAGCGACAACACAAATATGATGCCTCGCAAAAATAAAGGATGGACCTATTGTGGTCTTGTGTGATGGTTGTTGAGTTAAGAATATGTGTAATGTTTTCTCTCCCGTTGCAATGCACGGGCTCTTTTGCTAGTAATTCTTAAACATATATTATCCGGTGTTGAGACGATGTTTGAAGGCCGACCAAAGAAAGATTGTGTCTCATAGGGATGACAAAAGACCAAATCCACTTGGAAGGCTGCCAGATTATACCTCTCAAGGTGAGCAGCTCTGCAGTCTCCATTGTTGTCAGAGGGAACTACAAAACTGTCGAAGCAAAATTTCGTGTTTTGACCCTTTTTGCATACAAATTCAGGATCTGACCCCGGTTCTGATTTTTTTGGGGATTTGACCCTTTTTCTTACCGCCAGGACGTCTGTCGGTAGGGTTATACAGGCCCCTGGCGGTAGGGTACTAGTCCATGTTAGCACGCGGAAACAACCGCCATCCCCCTCCGTCGCACCCTACCGCCAGGGCACCTGGCGGTAGGCT